TGGAAGGTAGAGAGTTTCTTGTTCTAAAATATTCTGTTTCTCCTGCCTACTTCAACCAAAGCCTGATTTTTGTTACTGGCCTTCTGTGCCAAGAAGGCCTCAGGTTTTGTCGTCACTTAGGAAAGTCTTCAATATGCTTCAAACATTCTGGACTCCTTTATTTCTTATTCACGAAGATCCCCTACGAATCCCCAGGTTGAAAAGCCAGAGATTCCAATTGATTGGCTGTGACCTGTTTGCGGTCTTTGGGTTTGTGTTCCTTAGAAATGATGTTTGATTTTCCATGCATTTCCTTCTAACTGAACTGCACCCCAAATAAACGCCGAAGGTTTTGTCGTGGGAAAGCTTTTGCTGTTCAAACACACACACTCTGCTGACATTCAAATCCACATATCGCACCGCACACTGGTGTTGATAGAGTCCTTGACAGGGTGGAAGAAAACACGGATTTATTTAGCATTACCAGTGGCTGTACAATAATGACATTCCACTGCCCCTAATTCTTAAAGTATTTAATTTTATTTTACATCATATTTCATGTCACAAATATTCAGCCCAGGCCCTGGTTTACATGAAAGGATGCTGACAGTGGAAGGAAGCTGAACAGTGTTTTGAGGGAAGTGGAATTAGAATCAGCTGCACAAGTGAAATGAAGGTGAGAGGTCTTGACATATGACAACCTGGACCCAGGTGGGAAAGTTGGAGGGAGGTTGACAGATTGGAAGGGCAGTGCCAGTTTTCAGTTCTAACTCCATCACCCACTAGGGGCAGGGCTTTGGGAAGCATCATTACATTTCCTCCTCTTAACTAGTTTCATGTTTTTCAAATTCACTAAGATATGAGAATCGCCTGCAGAGTCTGTTCAAGAAAGGTTCCTAGTCCTAAGCTCAGCTCTGCCGAAAGAATTAGAATCTTAAAGGAAGAAATCTGTATCACACCCACGCACACACATACACACACACACACACACACACACACACACACACATACACTTTCACATACACATACTTATACAGTGTGACTTTTTTGAACAATTTTGGGAAATATTGAAATAGGTAATGTCTTGAGGCTTCTAGTTCTAAGATGCCAAATTTTGGGTGCTCTGATTTATCCC